TGATATTTGGATCTAATGTTTCCTTTGCCCTTTGATCAGGGGCGAAATCACTCCATCCATCTTTTTGAATGCACTACTCATTCAATATCATTGCTAACCTCCTCCATGGGGTTAATGTAAATATGATGTGGCCCAACTCTCCGATCAGATATTAATCACTTAGGTTTCGTTGGGACGACTTTCTATTGCTTCTGAAAACAGTGTTCTACATATAATTTAAAATTTTTGTATTAAAAGCTGCTTTTAGAAGCATTAAAAAAGCCGTTACCAACGAAACCTTAGAAGTCTAGAGAATTAACATTTTGCGATTCAAACAACTTTTCACTGCTATGCCTGGTGACATTTATCATATATGGCCGGAGAGCAATGCAAGAAAATTAGCTCTGAGATCAAAACTTTTTCCACGCTAATGTTAAAACATCAGCTCGATATAAAATTTTGAGTTATTATAATATATTCTAAAATATTATATTCAGTTGAGATGAAAATCATTTATTAAAAAATATAACATTTATATAAATTAATCTAAAATTTTAAATTTATCTTGACTAAAAAATTTACCAAGATGGCTGAGCCATTTCTTTCCCAAATGGATTGAACTTAAAACTCTCTGTATAATGTTTAGATTTTTATTATATTTATCTTCTATTGGAGTCGTCCAAGTTGCATCTAAGTGTTGTTTTATTTTCATATAACTAATTAAACTACTCTGTTCAGTCCGAAGTAAATGCCGCAAATAAATAAAATAATTTAAAAAAGCAGTGAATTATATTATGCAGTGTAAATTTGGATATGATATAAAAAGAATATAAATTATTTAAAAAATGAGTTATTGGATGAATATAAAATTAGTTGTAGTTGATTATTTTTTAGTTTTATTTGAAAAAAAATGAATGCGGATAATGTCATGATGGTGGTGGCCGACAGCGGCCTGCAGTGGCATGCCGGCGGATGATGCGTTGGGTGACGGTTGACAGTTAGAAGCAAAGTTGGTTAAATTAACTGAAAATATTTGAATTCAATAAAATGAACTACCGATAATATAGAAAAAAAAACGTGGATTAAATATGATTTACTAAAATTATTATACATTTTTTTTTTATGTCAGAAAACTCTTGCAATTTTGGAATGCCTTACACTTCATTTTCTCCAAACAAAATGGCCCTTATAGAGTCTTAGATTCAAAATTAATATAATTTTTTTTATAGCCAATTATTTTTTTTAATTGTTAAATTTATTTTTGATGAATTATATGGCATTTTATTTACATATTATTCTTATACACATCTCAGGGTTTATTTAAATTAAATAAATGTTGAGACTATTTCTTGACATATATTTGATACATAACGTGATAAAAAAATTGTTAATTTTTTTTTTTTAAATATTTTTATTTTAGTAACAATTAAATTAGGCCCGGTGTTTAGCGAAGCAGTCTAAACTGCACTTTTTTCACTTAATTTAATTACCAAATTAGTAAATTTTTATCATTTTTTATTTATCATCTTGTATTCCAATATTAAAACAAAGAGTAAGTGAGTAAACACTCATGCTCCGATTGGCAAGATTCGCTGTGAAAGAAGTTGCAATCGAAGGAACAAAAGCGGAAGCCAAAATTAATCAAATAATATAAAATGCGCCTTCAAGAAACTAGCATAGAGAGAGATAGAGAGAGAGAGTGTAGGGAGAGTTAGGATTGAACCTTTGGGATAAACATAAGCATATAAACTGAATTGAATAGCTGAAATTAAAGAACAAGTGAAGCTTATCGTTTCCAGTAAATGAGCATTGAAAATATCGTGCGGGTGAGAGGAAGACTAATAAGAATGACGAGACGGTCCATACGGAGACTTGAGTCCTAGTTTTATGATGGTTATTTCTATACGTCAACAAGATTTTAATAGGTAAGTGCATATAAGATTCATATTTAACCTTAAGTGCTTGGCTATCAAGATTACGCGACAGAGAGTAGTGTATTGTTAATCGTCTAGTGCACGATAGTCAGCACACAAATGAGAACACAAGATTTTTTTATGTGGAAAACCTTGATACGGAAAAAACTCACGAGACCACGTCCAGGTTGAAACGATCCCTAATTGTTGGGTGATTACAGTTGAACTGAATTAGTCCCTGAGGGTGATGTAGGATTAACATAATCCAATCATCTAGTTGAAATCTATGTTGACAACGAGGTCAGGGCAGATCGGACGTTTGGTCATCGGAAGTCTGGCATAAGTTGGTGGTCTTGGCAACAACGTCGAAGGTGCTTCGGAGATTCTGGATCGAGTTTGAACT